CGGATGTAGGTGGACTCCCGGCATTGTGCGAGAAGAAGCCAGATCATTAGGTACAGAAGCAGACAGATATGCCAGTTTGTGCAACGTACTTTGTGCAGCTAGAGCGGTGCTGCAAGCACGCGTGAATAGCATTTCGTGTCAATGCAGCTCACCTTGGCCTGATGTTGGGCACAATCTAAGAACGAACTCGCACATTCCTGCCGTTCCTATGGTGTCTGGAAGTGCTGCCATTACGGTACGGTGACGTCTATGATTCTGAAGTCTGTATTGCCACTGCCACTTCCTGTCTGTAAAAGGAAACTGTGATAGGCGGCAGACTTCCTTTTTGCAGCCGCGACCTGAACCAGGCTTGGTTTGGGCTCTCCTCCTTCCTGGTTTCCGACATGTACCTACTTGAGCGCTTTTCTGACATTCATCTGTCTGGTTCTTGCCAAATTCCTGCCTGCACATGACGTTCTGCTGCATCTCATAGCTGACCAGACAACAGCTTGCCTCGCAGTCAGCTTCCGTGCGTCAATTGGAAACAACATCAACCAGCTCACCATCAGCTCGCACCTGCTCCCGGGGCACTGGCCAGAGTGTGGGAATTACCATTCCTGACAATGCTCGTCCGATCTCACAACGTGAAGATGCTTTATGTGATACTCGAGTGTCTCAGCCCCTCACCAACCACGGAAACTGCGGGATGCCGCCTTGCTCGACACCTGCAGGAGATGAATGCGGGTTTGGGTCATTCGGTTGCCATAAAAATGCACCTTTGAACGCGTAATAACCGTCACTGTTCCTTGACGCACCCGTTGCGGTATCAGGCAGTTGCGATGGGATGTACGCTGGCATTTGATGTCTAGCAACGAGGTTTCAAGCAGTTGTCAGTGCTTGGATCACTCAGCACGGCAAACGCACAGGCATCCGACATAGCGGGTCTCATTCCGCCATTTACGGCCCTACTTGGCGACAAGGTAAGATCCATACCCTGACAGGGTTTCTTCGCAGGTGAGCTGCCAGCGATGATCTCCTCATAGGATTCCCTTCTTATACCCCCTACTTTGACGGGTGCTTCAAATCCGACGGAATTTGCCGGTGTTCCCGGGACGTTGTTGAGAGCGTTTCGTGCGGGTCCCTTTGCGCACTAGCATCCAACTGGTGAAACGGTTCGCCCCGAGCGCCAGACTCTGTCACCCCGGAGGGTGTCGATGGTTTGACATGATTGGACGGAGATGTATGTGTCCGGTGCGGCATCCGTGCTCTTTGCTCTCGACAACGGTATCCTTGAACCATCCTCCCGGGTTAGGGAACATGGGCCGGGACACGAAAGCTTTTGAACCCGACATTTAGACTCGTTTGAGCTCCCCACAACACCCCCAAGTCCCGTCGCACCTCTGTTCTGGCGCATGTCTCCCCAGCTGTGCTCGTGTTTTATATATCCAGCAAGATCGGATGCAAGATGATGGGGGGATGTCAACCTGTCAATCAGTGTTTGTCATCGCTATGGGCGATTATTTATCTCTGGGCCTTTCCTGATGTGCGACAGCTGTGGTGACCAGCGGACACCAGCCACTCGGGCATTCCAGCCTGACGCCCACAAATCCACCTTAGGTGCTCGCACAAGTACTCGCACTCAACTCTTTCTCGGCCGCTCGTCTGCTAGAGAAATGCGAGCATGGCTCCGCGGAAAGAAGACGGGCAGGCCAGGCCTCCTCGTATTCGTTACAAGAGACTACGAAGGCAAGACTTCAGCTCTGGGTCTATTCGGAAGAAAGACGGCGGCGACTCTCCAGGCTGGGACAACAGCAATGGCGCACAAGATTGGAGTGGGCAAAAGTCGAATGGAAATGGACCTCCGGATTTTGTCAGTTTCGCAACAGGTCCAACGGGAAAGGGCAAAGGCTTTGCAGGTGCCCCGCCGTTCTCGATCGCTCTGACACTGACGAGCGCCTCGACAAGCACCGCCACCACCGCGCTCTCCTCCTCCCCGTCTTTATCTTCATCAACGCCGTCGTCATCAAGTACTACGGCTACAGCGAGTGCACCTCTGCTGTCAACACCAGCCTCGACAACATCCGTCCCAACTGGACAGTCCTCGTCGTCTTTATCACTCACGGAGACACTCATGCCAGTCACAGCCCCTTCAAGTTCAGCTTTCACATCTGTGTTGACACCTAGTATCACGGTAGATTCGACAGCATCGATCCCCAATGTTGCCACATCAGTGCAGGCTCCATCCTCCGTCTCTACCGACGGAATGCCATCTCAGGCCCAGGTCGCCGGCAGCCCAATGACACCAGGCCGAGTGGCTGGCATCACCGTCGGCTCCATGTGTAAGCCTCTCCTCAATTGACATTTTGGCGTATCATAGAGAGGCTCATTCGCTCTAGCCGCCTCCATCCTCATTGTGGTTCTCGTCCTATGCATGTGCCGGAGAAGAACAGCGAACCAGCCATCTTTTCGGAGCAGATTGTCGGCCCACTTCGCGTGCATACGCCACCATCGCTGCCAAGAGCCACCACTTGAGCGAGTTGACCGGATGGAGAAGTCACTTTTGGCGGCGGAAGGATCTCCCAAGTTTCAGACGCCCGAACCGACCAAACGAAGCCCCTCATGGCTACGTCTACTTCAGATCGAAAGGCCTGAACCAACATTGACCGACTGGGTTACAAATATGAAACGGAGCGAACGTCGTTCCTTGAACCAAGCACACGGGGGGAGCGAACGAGCACTCTCTGCACCTGAGGGGATGAACGGGGACCCGACACATCGTGTTCGTTCCACCACTTCCACGCTGTCAGTTGGACAAAGATATCGTTTGGAAGCGGGCCGCCATTCGACAGTTTCTATACACACTTCAGCGACCCCCTATCGTCACTCGACTGTCTCCGATGTGTCTTCTTTGATGACGTCTTCAGCGACATATAAGACAGACAGCACTTTCATGCCGACAACACCGTTGCGTTATCACAAGAGCGCGGCAGCATTGAGAAGGAATTCTGCTGCCATGATGGACGAAGACCCTGGTCTGCCAGGACTCACCAGCCCAAGACCAAGACTCAGCGGTTTCATGCCGCCATCCACTAGAACAGAAGGTGGCTTGGGGGCAGCAGCAGGTTTGCCAGCCTAGGTAGGCAACAAATGGCCATTGCACTAGTTGTGCCCTTGTTTTTTTTTCTTGTTTTTTTTGTTCCTGGAAGTTTCTATCCACCGTTCAGCTTCGCTCGGGGGCATTGAGTGCCACCAGTATATTCTCAATCACGGGATCACGAACCTATTCGGAAATTCGCGGCGTAACTCTACCATCACAGATTTTCTTCAAGTCAGATTCATGTACATAGATATTCTTGGTGATATGACCTTTTAGTGCCGGCCTGACAGACTTAATTTCTTTGTATATCACTTTTGACGTACCGAAACAAACTCATTTACCCTGCAATGTAGACAAATGACTTATAAATGCTCACTGAACTGTGTGTTCAAGGGAGGTTTGTAAGGCCGCCGGTCATCTTTTGCTCAGTGTCACTTCTCACTGGTTAAGGGGGCGGGTGTAACATTGTCTCTCACAACCTCACCAGCCCATCCCAATCCACTCAGAATTCCCCTTCGATACAAAGCGGGCGGAAGACATCGCGTGACAAAACCTCATATTATATCAGCAAATGGATCATCTCGTGGGGTTCACCGTCACGCAGGAGCAGGCTGCAGACGAGTACGAGCTCTACCTCTGCAGCCCCCATCGCCTGCAGAAAGGAAAATCCTACTGCGCAGACACGTTCAGGCGTCTGGTAGGTGGGTGGGCCCGCCAGGAGCTGCGCCGTGGCGTGTGCTCTCGTCTTCTGCCCCTTCCCGTCCGGGCTCGGATCGGTTCCCAGCTCGGTCGCAAACTCAGGAATAGTGGGAAAGGGGACTACCCGATGGCGGATCCCAAGGTGGGCGAGTATCTCGCCACGGAGGCGCGAGCCGCCGAGGACGCCGACGGGCTGTGGCACCACTGCGCGCAGACCTATCTCGAGGCGGCGGTCGTCCCGGAGGTGTGGGAGGTGCTGGAGCGGGAGGAAGCAGGGCTGAACAAGAGGCTGGGCGTGACCGCGGACCCGGTCGAGGCGTTCCAGGACCGTCTGAGGAGTGTCGGAGAGGATCTGGAGAACCCGCTCGGCTGTGCGACGCTGGCCAGGGGCATGGACTGTGCGAGACATGCCCTCCACCGTCTGACCATCTTCGGTTCGGCCTTGGAGATCGAGTATGATGAAGCGGACTTTGATTATCTGTGGGATGACAGCGAAGAGGACGAGGTGATTGCCATGGCTATGGCTACGCGAGACCAGCTGAAGATGTGCAGGGAAAGAGGAAATGAAGTCAGGGCGGAGGAGTATAGCGCCGTGGATGAGTATTACCGGGATCTTGCGGATGCTCGGAGAAAGCTTGAGAGCTTGAGCCTTGAGATGAGCGACTCGGAGACAAAAGGAGGACCACGAGAAGGAAAGGGAGTGAAGCTTGAGGATCATGCGGTGGTTGTCGAGTGTGTCGGGCTCAAGTTCGCCATTGATCGGCCGGCCGGAGCACACTGCTCGAGGATTACTATGCTGTGATCTAGCAAGTCATGGTGAATGAGGAAGTGTAAACAGATAGGATAACTCGCTATCTTGGTTCTCAGCAGCGTTTGATGATTAGGAGGCCTCATGATTGGAGCATGATAATTATTACAAAAATAAAGAGATCTCAAAATAAAAGAAGGTACCCCAGTTCTAAATTACTTCTCTGAGACGAGACACCCCCAAGTACATAAAGTGAGAGGGACTATATGATCCTACATGTCCAGTAATAGTTGTGTATTTTCTAAGAAGCTGTGGTGATATCCGGTAGGAGGCATGACGGTCATGACTCGCTCGTTACTATTGCTCTAACTAACTATGCCTAGAACAGGCAAAAAGTGAAACGGCATGTCGCGACAGTCTAGTCCTAGTAGGTAGATGGAGGCAAAAGATTACAGTCGCTTCTTCCAACAACACAACGGGCTTGGCCGGGGATTGAACCCGGGACCTCTCGCATGCGCTATGCTGTAGGGTGGGCCCTAAGCGAGAATCATACCACTAGACCACCAAGCCGATTCCTGTTTGGTGGTAAAAATGTTGCACATTTGCTTTTATCAACTTCTCTTACAATCACTTGCCAGCACCCGGCCTCTGAGAACCTTGGAAATCAACCATAACTTAACAACAGACGTGTATCTCTTTCCGTCCAGCTATATACCCCCTAAAAAGATAACGTGATTTGTGTATGAACAACGGAGATGGTACGCAAGATGTCACTCACTGCAAATCGCCATCCAGTCATCGCGATGTAGGCCCTCAGCATTCCCCATTAACGCAGTTTGCGGTATGTATAGACCGAGAGGTGCATATCCGGTGGTGGCGCTTTTTATTTGCCCTAAAAAATGTCTGTCACTGACTTGCAGCGTATTATGGAATGGGTGTTTTGGAGCATCGGAAAATGATGACTAATGCGCACTGACTGGGTGCACCAGTCTGTCATGGTTTAAAAGACTGCACCGGAGGATAGAACTTGAAAAACACAAGCCACTTTTCCACTGAGTATTTGCTCCCAAGTTGGTATTAACCATCCTGCGTTTTACCGTTGTTTTATGGAGGTCGTGCCCAGGTCATACAAGATCCTCCCTCTCGGATCTCGTCTCGTGCTTGGTTCTGGAACTTGCTTCTTCCCCTTTCCCTCGTTTTTCTTGTCCCAAATCTTGAACCAACTCGGCATCTTCCGTTTCTTCCCACGCCTCCCGCGCCGCCGTTCCCAAGACGTTCTCTCCAGTGACTGATTGAATAGCCTTTATAACGTCCCGAAAGGTGCATTCCTTAGTGATCTGACGACGTGCACTCTCGTTCTGGATTCCCAGCAATTAACAAGGCAGCGCCGTCCGCATCTTGGAAACGTTGCCCAGCCCGCCCGGCCCAGAGGCGAAGCAACCCCCGATTTCCATTGCGTGTCGGATTCCGCGGAACAGGCACACTCGGGTGTGCATGAACGGCCGTGGTGCACTTGCCACAACGATCACGGATTCCTTGACCTCCGACACACTCAGTCAGCACTCCAACCCGGCGAAAGCCACGAGATATGCCGCAAATGTCTTCGCTTTCTTGTGGGTTGGAGAGGCCCAAGCTACGGGGCATAATGGCATTAGTAATATCGGTGCGCCAGCAGGTAGGGCCTGGAATTACCCATCCATGGGTGCCCAAGGGTACTCATGCCAAGAAAGGGTTTTCGCGGGTAAGTTACCCAAAATCTATGGGTTGGTGGGTATTTGACCTATAGGTAACGGGTAACCTATGAGTCATACGTATAGCATACAAAGTAACCTCGTAGCTTTAAAGCTAAAGAGTTAAGAGAAGCTATTTGTGATAAGTTAGTATATAAAAAGCCAATTGTCCGAACCCTATATCTCGAAAGGTAAAATCGTAACGTAAACTAGGAATTAGACTTAAATGCTATGATTTATTAGTACGTGGATTATTACATGGATTATTACATGTTTTAAGCGAACAGAACTTTCATTCACAACTGTTCTACTATAAAACTAAAGATGTGACCGAACTCTGAACCCTTTTAGGTTTTTAATGCTGCACTTGAAAAACCGAATTGACCGAACTCTGTATCTTTAAAGGCAAAGTGTCGGACTTGTCCAACCTTTCGAGGTTCAGTTCAGGGGTATCGCCAGGGGCATACAACCTCGGTACCTCGGTTCCAGTCACCTGTTTTCCTCGGTTTACTTCCATTCCTCGGCTCACAACATGTATATATATTGAAGCCGTATTCAGGCTTCCAATCCTTCTTTCTTTCCCTCCTCAGAGGACTTCATCCATAGCAATTGACTACCTTTCTTGCCCACTACTGTCAACACAAAGTCGTCGCGTAAACTGAGAAACTAGACTTAGACACTGCGATTTATTAGTACGTGGATTATTACATGGATTATTACAGCGATGCAGTAACCTACGGGTAACCCACTACCCATGGGTAAAAAACCCACTAACCCAAAACTTATGGGTACCCACCCACTTTACCCATGGGTCGATTGGGTACATAACTACCCAGTAGGTACCCGTGGGTATTTCCAGGCCCAGGCCAGATGCACCCCCTTTTCGCCAAGTTCCTTCCCAACGGAAATGCCGTCCGGGATCTGCTCTCATCCATCACATTGGACTTTACTGCCGGTGTCTTGGACAGTCTGAATACCGCCCCCCCCCCCAAACCGCCAGAGCTGCGACCCCTGCGACCACCCGAACCACCCGATTGCTGACGACCCGAACCACTGGGTTGCGTACGACTTACCGAAGTGCTGGTTTGCGCACGACTTGCCGAAGTGCTGGGTTGCGCACGATTAGGTTGCGCACGACTACCCGATCCACTGGGACGACCACCCGAACCACGACCACGAGTACGACCAGATTTATGACGAGAACCAGAGCCGCCGCCGCCGCCGTCGGAATCACCTTGTGACTCTGCGGATGAAATTGGTACAGCAGCCGGCGGGCGACGCTGGTGACCAGGTGGCGTTGGCGGAGGCTGCTCGTCATCCCAGACGTTTCTGTTCAGGTTCCCTGTCTGCTCGCCCAGTACGTTGTCTCTTTGACGACGAATTTGCTTGCCAGATAAATGTAGATTTTTCAACATTTCTGAAGCGATCTTCGTATGCCAGGTCCTGGGGGGTCTCAATAATTTCTTGACGCAAGCTAGAGTGTCGGTGACCTTGTGCACTTTCCGCTGCGATAAGTCGGAACACTATTGGCGCCAGAGTATTCATTGTGATCTGGATGTAATATCTGGCCATTGCGGCCCGCTGACTGCCGTCAAAAAAACTCTTTTTGATATCCAGGACATCTGTTGCATATCGCCATATGGCCACAATTGTTGGCTTTGTTCAATAGTTGGCTTGTCATGGCCGATTTGAACTCTTGTCTGGCTTGTTGGAGCTCGCTGTGGCTAGTATTCGCATCATAGTCCATAACGCGAGCCACGTCATAAATGCGCGGGTTTGATGTGCCGTATGCCTTACACTATTAGGCCCGTTCGAAAGCACGCCGACAGACTACAAGGGCTAATAGGGAATATATGTTTTTTTCCCCCTCAGGAAGGAAATGTGCCGGCCAAGCATTTTCATCGGTTCGGGAACAGACGGCAGAAACGGGGTGTATGCCCGTATAGACAACTACAATAACTTGACAAGCGAGAACACACCCCGGCACGCTAAGAGGTCTGCGGACGACGGTTTCGTCATTTCACGTAAAGCGCTCCTCTCTTCGACACCCGCCCCTTCTGCAAGTCTGGTCCCCATGACAAGAATTTTCGTCATGGCATTGGAGGCGTCCTTGACGTTTGCTTCCGAGGCTATGAAAAGGGAATTGTCGGACGTTGCTCTGACGTGATGGCAAAGCGCAGCCATTGCCGCCCCTCGATTACTCGGGGTTGTGAGTCTGGTACCTATGCAACCTGAATGGCGATCGTCGTTGTCTCCTCCCCTTCACCAGCAGGACAAAGACGAGGGCCATCTCATGGGGGTGGGAAATGGAATCCCCAGGCCTGATGACAAAAAGAACATAAAAAGCCCTTCTGGGCGGCCGCTTGTCGTCGATATGATTACGACACGATGACACGCCGGAGACTAGAGATCGTTGGTTGCCAGGTTTGGCCTTGGCAAACACCCTCACGACATCAACTGCTTTGCCGTCCCTGTTGCGAGCCATTTGCATGGCTTGGATGAGGGCTTGGTGAATTGCGTGCAGCTCAGGCAGTAATATGGATGTCGACTCGCCGGCTTTCGCCGAGGCGGGCAGTTGATACAGTAGCTGCACCCAATCTTTATTATCCTCATAGTCACGCTTATACACGACTGCTAGGCCGGCAAGTCCGCATTTACGGTCGATCGAAGAATCGGCCCAGAATATAAGCTCCTCTTCCATCCGTTCCATCGTATCGCCCCACACCGTATGGCTATCGTCGCTAGCGGTATTAAAGTACCTACCTAGTCATCATCGTCGCCGTCGATGGTAGCAGTAGGAGTACTAGTATACACCGAGGATATGTAAGCTAAATCATCTTCTTCGTTTCGAAGGTGTGCGCCTCCGTAAAAGGTTAGCGGGTCGGAAGTCTGTACATGTGTCATGGCCCATCGAGTTTGAATTCTGCTAGTGTGATTCGGTGGAGATATAAGACGGCTGCACGGCCGACCGAGAGCGGTAAGACTCAGTGCCCTAGTGCCGGAAGTGATCTGACGGATGAAGATTGGTTGGTCCATTCTTTCTGGAGGCTGAGGACGAATTCTGAGTGTTGTAAGAGGTGGTAATGGTCGTGCGGGGACCTCGCTCGGCCGGTCATTGTCATTCGTAAGGACAAGGACACAAAACGCCCTATTTTCCCTTCTTGTCAGTCTGTCGGCGTGCTTGAGACCAGCTGCCCCCCCGGCAGCCCATAAACATCCTTCACCACTACACCCGACGGAAAGCGTCAAACTCTGCGAAAAAGACACCAGACGCTGGCGAATGCTCGATTTATGTTATTAAACTCTACACTCGACGCCCGGATTTATTTTCTGTCTGAGTATCGTCTGTCACATCAATTTAGGCAGACATGCAGATTATAACCAGCATCGAACCCCTTAAACCCAGATTTCAGCGGCCGAGTTCGCCGCCCTCGCTGGCTGTTTGACGGGATACACATGTATGTATTTGCTTAGGTAGGCAGTGTGTGCTGGAAGTTCCCCGCTATGAGACAACTCGGAAGGCAAAAGTCTTGTCCTCTGCCATCTTTTGCAGATGTGGAGTGTGGAACAGTCGTGTATGTGCAATCTCGAGCGTCGATGTCAACGATTGCATCTTGGTTCGCGCGGTTGTGCACACACCATGGCAGAAGCCGGATCTAGAACTACAAATAGGCGGGTTTCCTCCAGAAGGAATTACATCAGAGTAAACAATTTTAGAGGGAACTGCAATGGAAGTAGACGAGGATGGAAGCGCAAGAGGATGGAACAGCAGCAGAGGATGGAAAAGAGAACAACATGAGCACACAAATCAACAACATGAGCACACAAATCCGGCCGGTGACCGATCAAGTTCAGTCGGTGACCGATCAAGTTAAAGAGACATCTCTCGTTGGGCCAGAGACCTACTGCCCAGCACCTTTTTTAGGAATGACCCCCCGGCTAGTTTCTAAAGGGGCACTCCCAAGACCACCACCATTTGACCATCTGAATGCTGCCACGCTGTGGGAAGGTGCGTAGTTGGTGTCGAATTTGCAGCCTGCTTCCGTGATGCCTTGAAGCTATGAGTCTGGCTGATCCTCCATATGTCAGGGACTCAGGGGGGTAGGTTCGTGACCAGGATCATCAACGCCGACGCCACTTGCTTTGAGTCAGGCGAGAAGGCGACTGACCCCGGTTGACTTGATGTTGTGTGGAGGTGATGCTGGGTGGTGTTGCGTTGTTCACGTAGGAGCTTGGAGACTCGAGGTGCCGGAGCATGGATGATGGGTGCTTGGGTTGACTATAAGCAACTGTGCGTGTGTGTGCATATAGTGTGTGTTACACTCTCTCGTCTCACATCTTTCCGTTCTGAGCCTGGTAAACACGTTGTAGGCCGCGTTCCATCGAGGAGGCCAGGCCCCCCCCTCGACCTCCTTCTTCTTTTAGTGTGTTCGTCCACTGGCAATTGGCCGATAGCTGCTTCGAGTCCCACTCACAATCCATTCAACAGGGCTCCGAGAAAGGGGGCATGCGCCGCAAAACCGAACATGAAGAAGAAGAAAAAAGTTCGAGGTTCCTGGACGCGGCGGCTCCAAAACAACCAGGAAAAGATCGCCATCCACCATAAGACAGACAAGATACAAAATATATTGCAATCGCAAGGACGAAATACTTTAATGGACGAGCTGGGAATCGAACCCAGGACCTTTCGCATACAACTGCACCCCTTAACGACGCCCCGTAATGGGGGTGGGTATGGGGGAAGGTATGCTAAGCGAACGCTCTACCAACTGAGCCACACGCCCTTTCATCTGATGGATATCGTCTTGTGCCGGAAGTGGTGGGTATGAAGGGTTGTGCTGTGTGATGTGGATAGCTGAGGTATATTAAAGCCCTAGAACTACTTAGCGTCTTAGCTAGGTGGGCTTTAAATTGGAGCGTGGTGCGTGGGTGGGTTCCAGGTTGGTCCGCATTCCGACAAGTGGAATTGTGTGGGACTCTGAAGTGGAAACAGGAGTCATCTCGGCCAATTGTCGAAGACTACCCACTATCGTCGAGAGTAAGGACCTGGAGAGATCTCAGACATGAATAAGGTAAACATAGTTGAAAGACACAAAAGGAGATTACTAAAGACTCTGAAAGACTATCGTGGAGAACTCTTTACATACGAGACGAAGAATTTGAAAAACCTGTACTATAGCTATACCAAACCCATGCAACGTACCATAACTCCAAGAATGAACATGTAAACATGGAAGGGAAACAAAAGATTTGATCGTTAGCTCGTTGCGTATTCCCGTCATCGGCTCTCAACTCTTCACTTCCTCCTCCGGGTCATGTTTGGTAAGCGCCTCCTTTATCTGATTCTCGCCATTAATATGCCCACTTACCTCTCCATTGACCTCTCCATTGGCCTGCCCACTCACAGCGGCAATGTTGTCAACAATCCCGTCGATCTCTGCTCCGTTTACCTGCTCTTTAACGTCCACCTTTGTGAAAATCTCTTCTTTAACTGGCTCCCCTTGCTTCGCCGGGACATCCGACTCGGGCGTCTTCTTCGGACCCCCATCCAACCTCCCCAATATCTCCCCAGGCAGCTTCTCCATAACCCCCTCCACCAGATCCACCATGCTGGCGCCTCCCAAGATCTTCATGACGGGTACATCAACCGCCAACTCCTTCTGGAACCAGGACCTCATGTCCACGGCAATCAAGCTATCCACTCCGAGATCGACCAGGGGCGTGGTATCATGAAGTGTGTCAGAATCCGGCAGGAACTTGGCAACCATCAATCTCGTCCTCAATGCGCCAACAATGATCTTGTTCGCATCCTTGACCGTCTTGGCTGCCTCGAGTAACTTCCTCACGGGCACCCCGCCTCCAGCGGTATTGCCAGACGGCCCACCGGCCGCACCCAGCTCATCTTTGATCATCATTCCCAACCGGGCATTCTTGGCCCAGAACGCCTTCTCTACCTGTTGCCCACGGAGGACGCTAACACCGGCAATCAGTTCCGGATCTAGCCCCGACCTAGGTCGTCCGGCAACGACCGCTTCAGCAAACAGCTGGTGGAGGTCTGTCTCACTCATCGACATGGTACTTGATCTCAGCTTAAGCCGCTCCTGGACTTCAGGGGCAAGCGCGCGCTCGATGTACCCGACGCCAACCATCCTACCAATGTCAATGCTTGACCCGGCTAGGCCGCGGTTGTTGTGCCGATCTCGGATGAGGGCCTTTAGGAAGCAGTTGCCCGCTCCATAAGCTGACTGTCCTGGATTACCGGTGACGCCGACCAGGGAACTAAAGCCTATAAACCAGTCCAGCCTTTCGGGAGCATCACTGTCTCCGGAGAAAAGCCGATCGAGGTTGATGGTTCCTTGTACTTTCGGGCGAACAATGGCCTGAAAGTCTTCATAGCGTTGCGTCATGAATGTCGCGTCTATCAACACCATTGCTCCCACAGCTACACCATCTATGGGCGGCATGGATTGACGGATGTCGGCGTAGGTTTGCTTGACTGCTTCGTAGTTGGTCACGTCTCTGTTCACCACAATATTAGTCTTCCGACGGTGTATGCAAACTTGAGGTGGGCATACCCAGAGAAATGCAGCACAGAAACACCCTTCTTCTTGTGCCAGTCCACCCAGTCTTGGTCTATCTTTGGCGAACGACTGCTGATAGCAATGTGCCTTGCATTGTTGGAGATGAGGAAGTCGGCCAGCGACCGTCCAAGCGTGCCAGACAGACCCGCAAGCCAGTATGTACGATCAGACCGGAAGAGGTCCTTGCGCGTGTACACGGGTTCGACGGAGACAGGCACAGGGTGGTCGACTTGCCAGTACACCAGAGAATTCTGCTTCGGGACGGCATGCGAGGGAAGTGACAGCAGCTGCGGTAGAGGGAGCACGTCAAGCGGCGCGCCGCCGGCGATGGGAATGACGCCGAGCTGCGAGAAGACGGTAGCGAAGGAGGCCACACTCTGAAGAAGCGCCGCGATGCTCTCGGGCGCAGTCTCTGGAAGACTAGAAGCTTCCCGCCCTGTCTGGCTGGACAGCTTGATCTTTTCGCATACTGGAGAGAGCGAGGCGGCTATTCTCGCGCCCAACCCCTCCGACGCACTAGACGACGAATCCGAGGCGTCGATATAAAGGGTAACGTCTAACGGCAAGGCGGCATCAATGGCCCGCTTGGGACTGTGCGGGTGCAGATAGACTGCGGAGCCGTGACTATTGTCCGTGTCTTGCTTTGATGTGAGGAGAAGGGCGTTTTTGCCTGCGTCAGTTATTCGCTTGAGAAGCAAAGCCGAGGCAACGGGGTTGGCATCAAAGATGACGACGCTGCCCCTGGGAGGAAGAAGTTGGAGCACCCGCTGGGCAAGGAGATCGGCCACAGCGAAGGACATGAAGGCTACATCTTCTAGTGCCGTGCCGCCTTCCAGAGGGATCGCCCATGATCGGGGCACAGTCACGACGGAGGCCTGCTGGTCCGAGAAGCAGAGCGTCTTGACACCTGTCTTGGTGTCTGTACCGAGGCAGACGAAAAAGAATCCTGCAGGTGTCTTGAGAGAGGATAGGAATGAGCACGAGACTTTAACCGTAACGAGAGAACCATTGTCGTCTGCGGCCCAGCTGAACTCGTGTTGCTCGCGCAGGATATACGACCCTTTGTTGTGGTCCCAGGTCAGGGCCAGAGGGGCCGTTGACTGGGATGCCTGCACAGCACACGTGATGACCCGCTTGGCCGAGTTGTACCGAGCATTCGAGTCATCGTTGAGTCTCATTCTAGAGACGTAGAGCCGGCCATCCTCCTTCAGGTACAGCTCGGGCTCTACGCCCCACAGCACGCGGGCCAGGTCATCCCGTGCCGCCATGTCGGACATCTCCCTCAACCGCAGCAGACACTCAGCTACAACCGTGGGGCTAACCTTGCTGGGGTCCGACCCGATATCAAGAGTCTGTATCTTAGTGTCGGGCAGCTCGTAGTAGACGGTGCGGAGGAAGCCTAGGGTCGACCCGGCATGCGGGTTCTTGTCCATGCAGTCCTGCAGCAGCCAGAGTACACTGGCCGCCTTGCCCAGGACTCGTTTCAGGTTGTTGAAGACAGGTTCTTGTATGTCTTGCCAGAGGTTTGCATCGAGCTCGGTGAGCAAGAGCACATGTAGTCCGTCTGGGACCTCAGCCTCGGGATCCAGACTTGCCATGCTGTCCACATAGCTCACGTCTCCGAAGTACGGGGCGAGGACGTCTGTAGCGTGTCCGCGCAGGATGGAAGGCTCGCCCTCCTTGCCGCCTATAACCATCAGGCGGCCCTTCCCTTCCGATGCTCCAGCGTCGAGCGGGTTGACCAGAGGCGCCATCTTCTCGTCCACGACGCGCGCGGATATGACAGCCCAGACGTCCTCCTGATCGAGCTGGTCCGACACCGTGTCGACGGTAAAGCCCGCCTCGGCCAGTATGACCTCCCATTCGACGGCAGTGAGCAGCGGGCCATGTTTCCGTCCGTCATCCTCGCCCACCCACCAGCCAGGGAGCGAGCCCTCGACGAACTGAAAATGCATGGCTACACTACGCGTGAGTTCCATGATGATAAAATAGCCGCCAGGCCGCAGCAGCCGACGGGCATTCTTGAGTGACTCTCTTAGGGGCGCGGTGGCATGCAAGACGTTCTGCGCGACAATAACGTCGTAGCTCTGCGGGGTGAAGCCCTGTGCGGCCGGGTCCTTGGTGATGTCGAGCGTCTTGAACATCATCTTGTGGGCGTGGGACCGGAACCGCTCATCGGCCCGCTCAAAGAAAGCGCTGCTGATGTCGGTGTATGTATATGAAGTGTAGGCGTCACCAATGCGGCTCAGGATGGTCGCCGTGGACCCGCCAGTCCCAGCGCCAATCTCGAGCATGTTCATGCGCGGATACTTCTGGCAGAGCTGCGCCACTAGCCCTGTTCCCACCTCGTTGAGGATCTGCCAGCCGACAGAGTCGATGTAGATGCGTTCGAGCATGTTGTTCTTCATCATGAACTGCAAGATGTTGACCTCGCCGCTAAGAACCTCGGGCACCAAGAGGTTCTCTCCAACGGTTGCCGTCACATGAATGTCGATGTCTTTCTCGTCGTGGCCGTCGATGAGGGCAGTGATGTACTCCTTGGTATCTTCTACCCACTCGGGCAGCGCGAAGGGATGCTCTCCATTCTTCACCATGTGGTAGAAGCGTTCGGCTTCATCCAACAGACACTGGCGATAGCGCGGCAGCGTCGCGCGCACCTCAGGCGAAGTGGTGAGGTACAGCTGCTTGAAGTAGTAGAAGGCTAGCCGCTCAGCGTCGTAAGCCGTGACTTTCTCTTGCTCGGTGAGTCGATAGTCTCCCCGCGCGACCTGCGAGTCCAGGTCGTTCAGGCACAGAATGGATTCCTGAAAGAGAAATCTGTCTTGCTCGGCGGTGGGCGGAGCCAGGGGCGAGATCTTGACGCCCTCCATCTCGATCAGCTTCGTGTTGTCTGAGCTGTACACGTCGACGTCCCCTGTCAGCGAGAAGTCGGTCACCGTGCTATCGACCGCCACTTCATCTGTCGTGTTCTGTCTCAAGAGCTCCGGAACCAGCGTGATGCGCTCGAAGTAGGTCGGCGCTACCACATCATAAAGACTGCCGTCACCCGGCGCTGCGAAGGCGGCGTTGAGGCCCTGCAGGGCGCAGTCAAGCATGGCCGGGTGGAATAAGAGCTGTGTCTCGGTCGCGGAGAAGCCCGGATTTTTGGCTGTGACTGAGGAATAACCAGTCCTCCGTGAGATGCTGGTCAGCCCCTTGAAGGC